GAGAGAAATATTGGGGGGTCGCCTTGAAGGCTCCACAGAGAAGGGAAATGGCGGGAGTGAGGGGCTTCCTCCGGGCTGCCCAAGTTCTCCCACTTCTGGTGGAAGGAAAGATTCAGACGAGACACAAGAGTTCCCGTCACCAGAGTCTGTTCACAAATACTTGAAGAAAGGAGACAAACGAGCAGGGAGTTCAGGCTCTCAGACCGACCCGGATTGTGTTTCTCTCCTTCCAAAAGGAGACTCACAACAACCGAGGAGAAATGACGTCTCATCAGCTTCTTCCATCATCTGCCTGCAAAGCAGGACTTTTCACTTTGCCTGCATTTATTCCAGCTCCTGAGCCATACAGTACATGTCTTTTTTGTTGTTAATAAATTCCAACTGCATTACAATATCAAAACCTTGACCGGCTCTTCCTTCACGGTCCTCAATGGCCCAGCGCAGACCTGTCCTGTTCGGCTGATGAAACATTGGGGTGGGTGGGTGGATCGGGTACTTCGATCCTGGGAGCTGGATTTCTTCTCCACTCAATCAGGAGGACGTCCAGTGGCCAGGACTCACCTGCCCGAGAACCTCACCTGGAGGACAGAGAATCTTCCCCAATTGATGGGGGTCTGGACCATGACAGGGCACTTGACCCGGGCAGGGGCTCGAACTGGTCTTGCAAGGGGGTACCTGGTCTGTTCCCAAAGGGAGCAACCGGATGATGGGCTTTTGGGGAAGGAAGACCACTGGCCCCCAACCTTGGGCCTCCAGATGTATCTTCCATAATCCTGCTTGGGTCACCCTAAGTAAGAAGCGACATAAGGACGCATCACCGCATTACAGTTATAAGGGGACGCTGACATTCACAAACAAACACACAGACACCAAAAAAAGGATGCAACCTTTAGAGTCATCCCAGGGGAAAGATTTGGGGAAGCCTCAGGCGGTGGTGAAGTCACCTCCTCCATGCAAGTCCCTCCTGCTCCATGCAGAGTCTGAAGTTCTCCCTGTCAGGGATGCTGGAGCAGCAGGAGCTTTCTGCTAATGGGAAGAGGGTCGGACTAGATTACCTTTGGATTCCCTGACGGCGACAGTTCCCAACCTTGGGGAACCCAGGAGTTCCTGGATGGCTCTTCCCACAAATCCAAGCTAGCAGAGCTGGTTAGGAAGGCTTCTGGGAATTGCAGTCCAAGAACACCTGGGTGACCCAAGGTGGGGGGGAGGACTGACTGCTTATGGGGAAGGGCCTGTCCCTCTAACCCTTCAAGACCTTGAGCATCCCCTTGGATTCAGCCTCGGATGAGGCTTATGGTGTTTGTTCCCTTTGTGATTCATCGGACCTTCCTCCTGAGATATAAGAGGCATAAAAGATAAAACATTGGCACAATAATCACATCTTAGTTGTTTAAAATGTGTTTATATATTTCATGCATCTCTGTACTGCTGACTTAGCGCTACTGTTAGTGTTTTACCACAGCATGATATACGCAAAACGATCATCCAAACACACAATGTGAACCACCTCAAATTGTTTTTCCATATCTCGATTTGTATCCCACCCGATGTAGCTCAAATTGTTTTTAACACTGCATTGGGAAATGCAGATTTTTCTCAGAAATCTAAGGAACAACATCAAAATAAAATTGCAATGGACCTTTTCTATAAACTCTAAAATATTAGCAGCTCACAACCCCAGCGAGCTCAATCACAAGGGAAGCTGGTGGGGGACAGAGTGAATTTTTTTTCTTTTTCAGTGAATGCGCTCTGTCCTGCTTGGTTGCTGATTATGCTGATCACATGACCCATTCAGGTTTCCTTTAGCCAAAGATGCTGCATTTCTCCTACCCCCTACTGAAGATAATGTTGGCTGTTTTCCTCTTCGCTTTCTTCCCCACCTTTATTTATTCCCTTTCTTGTCTTGTGCCAGGGTCATGATCTCCCTTCTCTAACATTTATACTGGCTCCTACACCTTTTTCCAGACACACTTCCCCTGGTGTGTAAGTGGATAGAAACCACTGGAATATTTTTTGAGACAGATGTTCTTCAGAATGTCTTTCTGTGCATGTATTTCCTCTTGCTTGAAGCCATTGACTCAGGCCAATGTTTCTGGTCAATGTTTGCCGGTAGATTCTACCATAAACATTCCTACAG